TTTGAGGAGAAAATGAGGGGAAAGAAAAAAAAGTACTCCATCTCAATGTCTGTGTGTGGTAAGGCAGACAGTAGCAATACAAATGCTAGGCACAGAGGTGCATATTTGAAATCCTCAATGAAATGAGAAAATACAACTAGGAGGTTCATAGTCCAGAGTAGTATGGAGACCCTAACTCAAAAATAACTAGCATTAAGTATTGGCTTAGTGTTTCAAGGGATAGAATTCCTCCTTAGCAAGTGTGTGCCACTGAGTTCAATAAGGAGGGTGGGGTAGATAGCAGAGAGAAAGAAGCCTGTGACTATTGAATCATATTCTCAACTACAATTTCACTCTCAGGCTCCACTTAATTCAGAATAAATACCATCCTATGTGACATGGAGTATATCATGAAACACAGTTTGCTTTGGTTTGGGGTGTGTGTGTGTGTGTGTGTGTGTGTGTGTGTGTGTGTGTGCCCATGTGTGTGTGCATGTGTGTGTGTGTGTGTGTGTGTTAATTTTTGTATTTCCAAAGTATCTTATATGTCTTTGGTATAAGAACCATAGTTTCTTAGTAAATAACCTAGCTCTAAAACCACCTTAGACAGCATCCTTGATAACTCCCCTTTCTTTCTGCTTTCCATCCAATTTACTATCAAGTCTTGTCAGTGCCATTTCTAAAACAAATTCTCCCACCCTCCCCATCCTTATCACCACCTCTGAAGTCTAGGGCACTATCTTGTCTATTGGATTTCTGTCACATCCTCTCTCTCAATTGGCTTCTCCTTTGGTTCTTCTCATTTATTATCCACCCAGTAGCAACAGTGATATTCTTAAAGTGAAAATCAGATCCTATCACTGGGCTTCTTTAAACCCTTTTATTGCTTTCTCTCGCCAGAATAAAGCACAGCTTTCCACAGGCAGCCAGCAAGGCTCTGCCTATCTCAATAGCCTTGCCAGTACCACTGTCCCTTTGCTGGCTCTACTCCAGATCAACTGTCTTCTCTGGTTCCTCTCTGCAAAAGATTTACTTAGAAACTTAAGAGAGATCAATGAATAGCCCAGGGTCTAATACACACCAGGCTCCATTTTACAGTGAATGTTGAAGGGAAGAAAAAAAAATAAGAAATAAAGTCAGATAAGTATCTTACTGTATAGCCAACCAATTTGTTTTCTTCTTGTAGGGGCACCAGGCAGACATATCCTAATAGAGTTTAAAACAGTTTAAAAAAATCCTGCTTGGAAGGTTTGTAAAATATAGGCTGCATACCAGGAGGAAATACATTGGGCAGTCCCAGGATGCAACTGGGTGCCCTGAGCATCTTCAAGCATTTATGGTTGTTTTGCAACACAGAGAATATCCTCTTTCTCTCCAGTCAAAGGACAGAGCCCTGGAGAAATTCAAATGCAATTTAAAAGAGTTCTTGGTCAGTTAGTCTAGCGATTTGCATTCCAAGGGAATCATTTCTGAAGCATTTTTTTTAGAATCTCAATTAGAGATTTAAAAGACCCACACATAAATGGGAAAGATTAAATTGAGGTGTAGAGCCATATTGAGGTTACATACTTAATAACATTTGAGCCATCAAATAAATGTTCCATAGCACTTAGTTCATAACACATTTCAAGTTGTATCTGGGTTAGTTTGGGTTAATAGTCCCTTTAATTATTCTAAATGAGGCTTACTTGCTTGCCAAGCTATATTCTACTTTCCATTTACCCTCATCATACTACTGTCTATTTCTAATGGCTTCCCTAAAATGGGTGTTAAGGGAGTCAGTTATGTCCAGGGAAGGGGAATTTATCTGTGACTCTGAATTCCACAGGGATCTAAGAGTACCTACTGCGTACTGGGCAAAGGATTGGGGAGGAAGAAAGAGGGGGGAATCTGTTTATGGATGAGCAGGTAATTAGCATATGGAGTGTAAGTGGTCAGGAAAGGTGTTAAAGCAGTGTAGAGTGTTGGAGGAATGTATCCAGAAGGCTTGTGACACAATGCAAAATGCAAAGTCCAAAAAGCCAATCCAAGGAGTGAATGTCAGCCGCCAGTAGAAGAAACAACCTAGGTAAAGCTGGAGGCGGTGTCCTGTCAGCCTGGACATCCCAGAACTCCTAGCTCCTGGCCCTCCACTTACTGGAGTCTTCAGGATCCCAGCTTCCTCTCTATCCCCCTTGGTTTTGAATGGGAGATCTTCAGGAGACACCCCTTGCCTCCAAAAAGCTAATGTAGATGGAAATGATGAGAGAACCGTGGCAAGCCAGATACACACAAACCAAGAAGGTAATCTAAAAGCAACACTTTAATAGTTGACTGAACTGCTTTGGTTCTGAGTGCATGCAGTCATGTAGGGTCAGGGAAGGAAACTTGAGTTTCTACTTGAATTTTACTGCATTTTGCTGAAGCATCAGCTTAACACGGCAAGAGGCTCTGTTTCACTTTCCCAGATGTTTCCCAAGTACATATAAGAGTTAAGCACATATTAGGTATTCAGTAAATACTTGTTGAAAGAGTTGATGAACTTTATAGGAGATATCATGTCCTACTGAGGTTTTGCCCATCCTTGGAAATCTTGGCTCAAGGACCTATGGGGGTCCAAAGAAAGAGAAGGTAGGGTTCCCTCATAATGGGTGGCAGTGGTCCCAACTCTGCACATAAACAAAAGGAGAGGACATGTGGAGCCCGTAGCTAGCTCATCAAGGTTTTGGGTAGTCTTTTCTGGTTAGTGATGTCTATACATGGCAGATAGGCATGCTGCTTGTTCTGTAAATCTATTCCGAACCCTGGAAAGCCCAGAAGAAATCGGCACTGTTGTGCCGATGTTTCGAGACCAGTTACTGCTGAGAAGCTTCTGTTCCAAGATTCTGTCCTTCCCAGCTTATTGAGTCTGCTCTCGGGATGTGAGAGCTATTGGACCAAGGACCCAATTATTTCCAGATACCTTCAGGGAGGGTACAGCTAACTGTATCATTGCAATTAGCTTCTAGAGTCTGGGATGCCCCTGGGCCATTTCAGTTGGCAAAGTGACTTTCTCTGGCCTCCCTCTTCCCCTCTGCCATCCCCTTTCCCCACCTGGAACATTCCTCACACACCACACCCTGCATCCACACTTCATTGAGCTCAAGCACCTCTGCTTGCTGCCCCACCAAAAACGCCGGAGACAAAAAGAAAAGGAAGAAAGAAAAGCCACAACATATAATGAGGCTGCATGCAATCATCCAAAAGTAGGACACAGAGACAGAAGGGGAACACGTGAAGGATTTCAGTGGATTTTACATCCTACACAACAATGTGCTACCATTTTTTTGGTGCCTCTTCATTCACAAGCCAATTAAGGAAACACTGGCTCCGGGAGAACCCCAGGATGGAGGAGGGGGTACAAGTGGCACCAACACTGGCAACATACTTCCAGGACAGGAAATGGAAGTAAGAAAATTTGGCCAGTCACAAGGCTCCATGCACTGAGCTCACTGGGGCCGGAAGGCAGGGAGGCTCAGCTCTTGCTGGAACACGTTTGAATCCCAAGTGAACTCTCCTGGCTTCTGGGCATATCTTTGTGGTGTATGAACCCTTCCACCTACTGCCAACCTCGAAGCTTTCTTCCATTCTTACCTCAACCCCCTAGGAAGCTTCTGGGAAACTTCAAAAGTTACTCATGCAGACATTGCTTTGGTGGGTGGAATATAAATGTTCAAGAGTCCTGACATCTTCCATGGGGATCTTTTTAAAAGACTTCAAAGAAAGAGCTCTCCAGCTCTGAGAATTTCCCACATAAGTAATAAATGGAAATAATTGCTCCTTTCTATATGTCTCTGATCTCATCCAGAGAGACTGGTTTATCAAAGGGGCCTGAGAGACAGTCAGGGATATTCTCATGGACCTCAGCTGCGGTGGGAACCCCAGGGGACAACTTGTGTGGCCACCAGTCTCGCCACCTCTTTCACACAGCTCCTGGGACCACAGGTGGCCACTGTCATTTGGAAATCAGACTTTGTTTTCTTTTCTGAATACTAAATCAATTTTTATGAAGATGAAACAAAAGGGCCTTTTGTGAAATGAAAATCGGAAAGGGCACCTTATTTGAGATAGGGCATCTTTTATGTTTTCTAGAAAACTTTCTTATACATCCATCATCTATAGAGAGGAGATGATGTGTTGGAGGGAGAAGGAAAAGCCTAGAGGTTAGCTAATGCCCACCCTTCAATCAAAAAAAATGAGGAAACACAATGGAAGGTCCTTTCCTGTTTTTCATGTTTTTGTAGAACTGAAGGTTGAACCCAGGGTCTTGCACTTGCTAGTTAGGTGGTCTGCCATGTGAGCCAGCCCCACTAGGAGGGCCTTAACTTTTGTCCTGTGTCCATACCTAGGAAAGGAACTGAGGAGGAAAAGAAGCAGCAGCATATATTCTAGGTCTGGTCCTGTGGCCTCCATGAAACACTGGATCTTTGAGAGAAATAAGTGAAATAACATCTGGGGGGAAATAAACACAGCCCTAGGCCTGGTACACAGTACTATACATGCTGAATCACTTAGCTAGCCTAGTTAATAAGAAGGAAGTCCAAATCAAGCCCCAAACAGTGACTCTCAACTCCAGCTATGCAGCATAATTATCTGGGATATTTTGAGTTTGGATTTTTTTTCCAATTCAAGGCTCAGCTATGGACCTTGAGATAACTGGTCTGCTATAGAGGCCAGTTTAGGAACCACTAAAGAGCCTATGTATAGCCCAGGTGAACAATCACAGGCCTAGAAGGTCCAAGAAGCAGGCCAGGGACAGTGTGGCTCTTATCACCAGGTAAATACCAGGCAGCTGGTAAAAGGAAATTTAAAAAGTTTGCAATGACACCTTTTGTCAATAGCAAGCATGTGATTGCTACAGAAGATAAATAAGAAAGACCAACTCAATTAAAATAAGCAATCAGGCTTAAAGAGTCTTATTGAAACATCATAATTCTCTCGTGTCCTATGACTATGGAGACTTGTTGACACAGTTCAAAGACAGACAGGAAAGCACACCTAGATTAACAAGGGAGAAGTCATTTAATGCAGAAATCCAGTTAACATAAAGAGACAGAAGCTGAACAACAGAAAGGACTTCAAACAATACTGCATAGTGTCACGGATTAGCTCTTACATGGTTGATCTGTTTCTCTTATGCTTTTGACTCCAGTACAAAGACAGAGAGCAGACTTCCAATTAAAATAATAATAATAAGGCAAAGAAGAACCCTCCTGTAACAAGGAACATCCACAAATAATACACAAATACCGGGCTCTGACACCACAAGACACCAGTAGGACAAGTTCTAAAGCTGTGGGTCAAAACTTAACAAGCCTAGTACAGTGACAAGAAAATTATAATTGCGTTATTTACGAATCTTTTTTTTTGCATATAGAAATTACTCTCAGGTAACTGTTATATACAAACTCTCGGAAATAAATGGAAATTATACAAATTTTTTTTCCATTGCAGTTTCTCTTTTCTGACCCTTAGAAATGCCCCATGCCCCAGCTCCTTCTCTGTCTCACAGTCAAAGCAGAAACAGTCATTAAAGCACTTTGAATCCACCATCAGTTTGTCCTTCGAAAGGTTGTGTGATTTTGCATGATTTGCTGTCAGTCATCCAGAAAAGGGCTGCACACAACAGGCTGGAATGTAAGAGACTGCGTTGTGCTTGGGATCCTGATGTAAACTCCATTCCTCTCGCCTGCGGAGTCACTCATACTGTGGGCAGGTACCTGGAGTGCAGTCATACTGTAGAGTCCCTGCCAGACTTTAGATGTGCAATCTTGGTCCGGCTAATAAATGGATAAGCAATGCAGAGACCTCCAGCTGCCACAATGAAACCTAAACTGCACCAGGCACAGAAGATAGACCAGCTGTAGCCATGTTCCACATCATCAGGCAGGCTGTAAATCAGCTTCGGGAGTCGGTTCAAATCGTAAGAGATACTGGCAGCATACGTGCAGAGAGAAATGGTGCAAAATATCCCTATAAATAATACAAAGAGAACAGAATGATCAGTTATGGTTTGGCCTGCTACAAGGCAAAGCCAGGCATGCCTTTGTGAAAATCAGATCAACCAGTGAAGCGATCACTCCAGATTCATAAACTTTATAATTTTTTTACTTGAATGAATTCATTCGGCAAACACTGACACAAGAAAAGAGAAAAGATGGACAGGAAAAATTCTGACTACTTGAAGAAGCTTGTTTGAGTAGTGATGCATGTTTGGATTTTGTTTTATTCTTAAAAACAATTAATAAAAATTCCAACTATTGGTAAGGGGCAGCAGCAGCTTCTATAATCTTTCAAATGCAATACAAAAGAGCCATCATTTGCTTTTGCTCTATACTCAACCAAATGCATTTTTACATAATTATAATCCTTATATAAAGTCATTTTGATGAACATTGTAACTATTTATCAAGTTTCCTGTAAATAATATTTTAAATGGAGTCTTACAAGTAACAAAATCGCTTTCATTTTTTTTTTTAACATACAGAGTCTGGTACATACTAGGGCCTCAACAAAATTTTAAGTGGCTGAATACATGCTTTTAAATAATATAAACTAAGTCCAAGAATTTGAAACCTATGTAAAATTACTCCATGAGATGATATACTTTCACCATTCAAGTTATAGACAATTTGAAAAATATAAGAAAAACAGGTATAACTCCAAATTTCCTTTTCATAAAAAATCAACATATGTATGGATAATTATCCGTTAAGAACAGTAAAATCAGGACTTGAATAAATGGCTTCAAAGCTCAAATCCATTGGGGTTTTAGTGTAAAGAGCTGCTCCAAAGACTTAGATGCTGCTACTTTACAATGGCCCCTTAAGGATGCTCTTCTTGGATGGGCATGGATACAAAATGGGGTGGCTATTGGGGTGAAGGTGGGTAGTAAAAATGGAAGTTGGTAACCCAACTTCCCACAGTGTTCTTGGTCCTCTTCATCATGTCCCAGGTCATCCCTGGGGAGCATGAAGGTAGTGTTTCTATTGGCTGGACAACAATTGCTTTGATATCCTTAGAAATACATGTAATTTATCCTTTGGAAACAGACTTTAGAACTGAAAAACAAGCTAAAGGAGGCATACTGACCTCCCCCAGTTTTAACCTACAGCTTTGGAGATGGAAAACACCAACAGAAAAATTAATTCAGAGTAGGTTTAAATTGGGAAGAAAAAGAAGATCACCTTAGGGCTATTCAATAAGTGCTAGAATTTGGTTTCCACTCAAATTATGTAAGGAACACACTGCCTGAATCTCTTTTCCAAATGTACATCTAGAAAATATTCCAAATGAAAAAGATACTTGATCTGAGATCATTTGCTATTTCCTTTTCTTTGCTGAATTCCATTTTTAAACTCCAACGTGATTTTGTTTTTCTAAAAGGAGTAAAATCTCATCCTCTGGCATCTCACTCCATTTTTTAAAAAAACAAAAACAAAAACAGATAAATCACTATGAGTTCTGCAAAAGGAAGATCAACTTGGAAATAATACTTTCTTAAAGAAATGGACCATTCAAATAATGTTCCATCATCAGGATGCATTGTACTCATAAATTGATATGTTGAATCAAAACCCCTTGTACAAGTACTTACAGATAAGATTTTTTAAAAGAACTCTCAGTAATAAGAATAAAAAAGGATATTCCATTGCTTTTTCTAGGTCTTGTGAAGAACAGACGTTCATACAAGACCCTTTTAAAGAATGCTACCCATAGAACAGTAAGATTGTTAGAAAAACAATGATCTCTGGAGTACCAATAAGTAAAATAAAATAATAGTGCAATGCCCTATACCCAGGAAAAACAGCTCCATGATGCATTTAGCTGTTGGTACACAGATGAATGCCTAAAAGAAAGCATTTTTACAACTAGCATAGTTACAATGACCTCTGAAAGCCTGAGTTCAAACTTAGACTTTCAAGAATCCTTTGATGTCTAAATGCAAGAAATATGTATTCTAGTCCTTGGCTCAACCACCAATCATTGTGTGACCTTGAAATTACTCAACTTCAGTGTCTTCATCTGGGGAAGAAAAAGGGGAGGAGACTTGGTTACTGAAGTTCAGACAGTGTCAAACTTCTGTGATGCCATTAATCATGGAACAACTACCCATCCTACAACTTCTGAGTGAGTTTAATACTCAGTATTAAGAAACTAAATAATGAACTGTCCTATGTGTATATACTCCCTTTGATTTTATATGATGAAGGTTGATTTTACTTGTACCCCTCCTCCCTCATCTCCATAAAATCATTTGGGTAAAATTAATTTTTCATTATATCACGAATCGTACTGAAGAGAAAAGAAAACAAGAAACAATCTAATCTGAGGATATCACCAGTACAATTTCTCTCTGCCTTCAATGTCATGAATGTTTATGCCAGAGGTCACAAACGAATTGTATTCCAAGTTACCAGACAACAGAAGCTCCTTGGTACTAACAAAATCTATGGCAAACCATAAGCAAAATCATGAAGTTTTTTGGCATCCTTTTTGCTTGCTCTCTAACTCTTGGATCCATCTTTCCTGGTGTTTATGGCTTAGTTCTTCAGTGTTTGCCAAATGCGAAGGAAGACTTGGTCGCCAGTCTGTAGTGCTACTGGGAGGTTGAAGAACCTTTAACAGCTGGGACCAAAAGGAAGCAAGGGAGATTACAGGAAATGTGCCCTGGTAGGGGATACTGGGACCAATCTCCATTTTGTTCTCTCTGCTTCCTGGTTGCAGGGAAGTAGACAGCTTTGTCTGACCACATGTTCCCTGTCCTCACATTCTGCCTCATCACAAACACAAGGCAATGGAGAGGAAGTGACTTTGGTCTGAAACCTCTTAGGCCATGAACAGAAACAAATTGCTCCTCCTTTAAATCCTCTTCCTCAGGCATTTCATCATAGCAACAGAAAGCTCACCCACACACCCTGCGCCTCTGCTTGTCCCTCTGTCTTAACTTTTATTACTTGTTTGTCTTTATTTTATTGTGGAATAGTATGTGCACCTCAGTGCTGCTTGGATTCTTTTTGGAATCTGTCTTCATCAAACTCAGATGAATACTTGCTTTATTTCCTGTTGCCTGTTGCCTTGATTCACTCAGCGCAGAGTGAGAGAGAACAGGATTTCAGTCCAAACCCATGACACCCCTCTGGCCTTCCTCCTCAGGCTACTGGCCTGTGTAATGTGCTCTCTCCTTCAAAGATGCTCTTGAAATTGTGCTGGGTAAAAGGAAAGCAAGAAGTGTTCCTCCTTTCAGACTCTCAAGCCTCTAAGGAAATTTGCAAATATCTGACTACCACAGATATTATTTGTAGGCTGGGCTGAATTCTCTGTGAGAGACAGAGCATTGTTTCCAACTTTTCTAAACAGCTTTTGTAAAAGAAGCTTTCTTCATCAATCATATTTTCAAAGGAAAAATAAATCCCTCTCAATTCAAAGACATCGAGAAAAGGCATTGTTTTAAATAATGAAAGGATATGTTTGTTTTCAAGCTGATTTCATAATTCTGATACTATGAATGCTCTTTTAGATCCCACAGTCATCTTTTACAGGACTCATGTGATGAGTCTGATAAAACCATCTTAACAAAGAACCACATACTAGGTGGCTTAACCATCTGAGATTAATGTTCTCACAATCCTGGAGACTGGTGACCTGAGATGTGAACATCAGCAGGACTGCATGCTTCTGAGACCCCTCTCCTTGCCTTCAAGACAACCATCCTCTCTCATGCTTCACAGCATAGTCCCCTGTAACTATATCCAAATGTCCTCTCCTTTAAGAACTCTATCATAGAGTTAGGACTCACTCTCATGCTCTATGTCACTAAATTTTCTTTTTAAAGATCCTATTTTCAAGTAAAGTCACATTCTGAGGTCCTGGAGATTAATGAATTGGGAAGCTATAACTCAGCGCCTAACATCATTGTATGTGGAGTGTGTGTGTGTGTGTGTGTGTGTGTGCACGTGCGTGCGCGTGCACATGCGCACACGTGTGTGTGAGTTTATTTCTCTCTTTTGTAGATCGCAGCAACATTGTTCTAATTTGTATTAATTAATCTGTTATTCAGTGATTATTGGTTACCTACATATGTCAACCTAGTGCTGACTGCATTGGAACTAGTTTAGCTTTGCGAGCATTTGTGAATCATACCCACAATGATTGAACAATGATATACTCCGATACCCAAGGTGTTTTAGCCATCTGACTTTCCAGCATGGCTCTCAGGCAAAGCTAGGAGAGATGACTTGGATTTCCTGTTCATTTTGCATCTTTTCTAACACAGCTGAGCTCATAGCATTAAAAAAAAAATCTGTTGAACAAAAATAATCCTACAGTCTATTTAGAGTTCTATCCACTTAAGAGCCATTTCATCATAAACTACCCCAGGTAGGACTGACCTATGTGGCAAGTTACCTCAGGAAACACTGCATTTTCATGCCTTACAATCTAGGTATGTGAAGGAGGTATGAAAACATAGATAAGGCATTCCTGCATTCCAAAAATATAAAATCTGAGGGTCCATCTTAAAAACCCATGGGAGGGGGCAGGGAGGGGAAGGCTGCCTATATAATCTTCTCCTAGGCTTTCCTTCCTATTCTTTTCTCCTGATGACCTGATGCTCTTCTGCCTAGCTAGTGCTCCAGGGAGAGAGCTTCCTGACTCTTGAACTTGCTCCTGGCTATTGCTGGGTAGCATCTTCAAAACAGTAAATAATTACTGGTTCCCTGACAAGCCCCATATGCAACAGCTATGTTTCTTATAAAATATTAAAAGGTTTTCTGCCAATATTCTTAATTAGAAGGTACCATAATTGCACAGAAGAGCGGGGCTTAGAGGGATAGTTTTAGATGAGGGTTACAGTAAATTGATGCTACCATCACAGATCATCAACCTAGTTTCCTACTTCCAAATCTTCATGGTGCCTGTAGCCAGCTGGTTAGATGTAATTAGGGTAACGAGGCCCATTTTTTTGACCTCCC